AAACAAAACAGTCAGATAAGTCAAACTTTAGTCAACTCATTCGTCTTGCTTCCTCCACTTCCGTGCCATTGATTCATTAATGTCTCGCAGCTGCTCTATTCCCATGTTCTACTGCATGACTGAGTTTACACACATTATGGTAATATTATGTTGAAGCATGCTTTGCATTATTCTGAGGCTCCTGACTACTGTGGCCGTAATGCTCCGACAATCTACAAAGCGGTGCGGCTTTGTAACTTAGCGAAGTCGTACTAAAACATTTTGACAGATTTTTGAGCGCCGTGTCCCACATAAAACCGGTTTGCAGTCAGTAAGCACAACCAGAATTCATAAGGTGCACTTTTGAGAAAATGAAAGGATTTTAAGTGCATCTTATAGTCCGAAACTTACGGCACTGAAAAGGTCTTGTGCTAAAAGAGCTTCACTGAGCTGAAATTTAAACTTAAAATGTCTCAACATATATAAAATAAAAAAAATAAAAAAAGTCAAAGTGCCTCAAAGGCTTTGAACTGAACATCTCAGTATCTGAACATCTTACCTTGGGCATGGGCGTCTGAGAGGTTCTGCCCTTGACTGTCTCTGGTTTAGACCATGATATGGGCATAATGTGTCTGTTGTTGACCAGAGACTTTCTGAGTTGTGGAAACTTCCTTTTTTTTTTTTTTCCCCCCCCTCCCTCTTCGGGGTACTCGAAGGGCTGGTTATGTTAAACTGGGGGCTGTGTGAGCTTAATGTGGTGAGGCTTGGTATTCACACTCTACTCCTAAATATGTTGAAAAAAAAAATGTGGGTGAATTGCTCGTTTACAGCGTTGAAAACACAAACGTGCACAGAGCCGTGCATGAAATGAAGCCCCAAAGAATGTGTTGAATTGGTTATTATTGAATTACTCAAATTGTTGCAGCCTGAATAGGCAAACGTGTTTCTAGTGATTGATAAATGGTATGAATACTTGAAGGAAACAAAGTTGTTGAGTGTTGTGATTTTTCTTTTTAGGGTCCTGTTGCTTTGAAGAAAAGGATTGTTTTGAAGAAAGCAGACTTTCATTTGTGGTGTTTTAACCTTTTGGGGGTTTTTTTGTTGTTGAAGTAAATGTTTTGATTCTCATTTTACAGATTGTATCCTTGGCAGCCTTAAAATGTAAAAGGAATTTTGTTTTTGTAATTTCACTTATGAAATTGTTTTCTGTGTAGGCCTATTAGAAGCCTGTTATATACAACACTTGTTGTAAGAGTCATGTAAATGTTAAACTCGTGTTAGTGTTCAAGAAGGTTTTCTTTGGGGGGAAAGACTTGTGCTGATTAACAGAATGAATTTGTCACACTGCTGTCACTTGTTAATGTTATTAAATACAAGTGGAAATGTGAAAATGCATGAAAAATTAAAGACTGTAGTTCTTTGTTTCCTTTTGTTTTGATTCAGCTTTAAATTAAAAGTCTTTGTTTGGATATTTATATTTTATAAACCCAGCAGTAGAAAATTTTAAAGCTTTATACACTTCAGTTCACTTATAAGGACAATTAAGGTTCAAAAGACCTGATGAATTCTGACCAGGTCCCTGCAGTTCAAGAGTAAAGATGCTTTAAAGGTTTGAAAGGCAACCCCCCCGTCCACTGTTCGATCCCCATCCAACAGTCTCTTACAAAGACCATTAAAACATATAACATCCCTTTGCTGGTCTAATCTCCACCCCCACAGAGCTGCAGGCACGTCACCTACGGCCTCATTTAACCGCAGTCCAGTTGCTACACCACATGAATGTTCTAAGGACCATCGACGGCCACAACCTACAGCTTCCTCCTCCACTTGCAGATTAAAGCAGATCGCAGGAGCTAAAGCTTCCACCTACTGCCTCATCCAGGCAATTTCACCAGCACCATGAACCCAAATAGCTGAAAAGTGATGTCATGTTTAAAACAACTGCCAACCCCACACCTACAGCCTCATCCCGCACCTTTAATCTCAGCTGCAGATGCCAACAGAAACCTTGAAGCCAAATCTCCTTTAAACAAAATGGTCATGAGTAGAAATGTTCAACTAAATCCTACATAGTTCTAAAGTACTCTTGATGTGATTATAAATACACAGTGATGTGTAAATTTTAAGGACATTAGGCTGAATGATGAAAAAAGTCACATTTCTGAAAGTAAAATATCTTAAAAGAGCTTGAGCTGTTTTAATCTTTATATGATCCTTAAAATCCTGACTCTTTTTACCCTAAGGATGAAAAATGACACCCTCCCAAAAACTGCTGTAAAAGTATTACTATATAATACTTTTTTCCACTTTAAATGACTCAGTCTTTTAAAGCTACTTCAGCCTTTGAAATACATTGTAAAATGTTTTATTTTAACCCTTTAAAGGTCAGTGTGTTTACAGAGCTCCACTGTTTTAAATCGGAAAAGAATACCAGCAGCGGAAAGTCTAAAAAGAACATTTCAAGGAGTGTTTTATTTTTATTAGGTCCTAAGATGGGTCAATGCTTGGAGGCAACATTGCTTTTCATGCATTTTTCATTTTTTCTGTCATGTCAGATTTTTTTAAAATGGTAGCTTTGCAAAAATTGCTGTAAAATGTTATACAGTAATATTTCTTCCACTTTAAATGACTCAGTCTGAAATATCAATATCAAATATTACATTTAATTACATTTTGGATTTTAACCCTTTAAAGGCCAGTATGTTTGCATAGCTCCACTGTTTTGTTTTGTTTTAACAACTTCAGCCTGAAATATAAATATAAACTATTAAGTAGAGTTTTGGGACTTTAACCCTTTAAAGAAGAGGGACTCCAGCTGAGGTGGAGCAGAGGCTGAAAATGGACAGACTGGTCTTGGCATATAAGCTTCCCACATGGTGCTGCCAGCTCTTCTATTTTTTTCCATGCAAAAGTCACACTGCTCTTACATTTGCTGATGAGAGGGGCTTGTAGCAGCACCCTGCAGATTTTAATTGATTAATTGTTTGACTTGTAAACATCCATCTTCACACTCATAGTGCACGATAATTTCCAGAGCATCCTGCTGTAAAGTCTTGCCATCTCCAAAACAACTGCTCCTGCATTACTGCGCATATTTCTAACTATAGGTGCAGTGCAGTTGCATAACAGGCGTGATAACAAGGCTGCTGAAAGTTTCAAAGAAAAAAGGTTGCCTACCACAACACTGGAAATCCTACTTGCCATATTAAGTGTTATCATAACCTCTATATCCATAATCTTCTCTGGTGATCTGATTAACCTTATTTGAATGGGAAGAAATCAGTTATATAAAATTGCAGGTTGAGCAAATATTGTGTTGGCCCGTAGTGACGTCACGGGAGTCTGTTTTAGTACTTTTTCAAGCTGAGCCTCCTAAAAAACACAAAGGATCAACTGCATAACCTCGTGTAGCAGTGCTTGATTGTGCTGGAGTGGATGTGTCTGCGTGGGGTAAAAACACAGAGTCTTTACATGGTTTCCAGCAGAGTCCAATAAAAGTGGAAGTGACCTGCAGCTCCTTTTCCCCCACCACCTTGTCTTTCTAGTTCAATTACAATCTGACAAACTCATTTCCAAACACCTACAATCTGCATATCCCTGCTTCTCGGGCTGTGCTGTGTTAAAAACAGACGGTGGCGCCTGTTTGATGTATGATATTTTCTTCACTTGAAGTGGGCCTGAACGACTAAACAAAAAGACAGCGATAATAAAACCCTCCAGGACTGTGCGTCAAAAGGCTTTACGAGCACAATAACCGAGCACACTGCCAGGATCCTCACTGTAGCGAACTGACTGGGAGTGTTTGGGGTGCTAGACTGTGCACAGGCGTGGCAGTGGGCTGGTCCTGGCTCACTGAGCGATGAAAAAAAAACAGCACAGCAGGGTCGGTTGACTTGGTATCAGCTGAGGCCCTGAAACACTCTGACAAAGGAGCCAGTGCACACAGATTTGTTGCAATTAACTCCTTCACTCTGAGGACGTCTTCAGGCTGTGGGTGTGCCGCACCCACTCAGCAGACACGCTCCCGAGGATGCGCTGAGGTGAGTAGCCTACACTGCTGATATTTACGTGTAGTTATCCACGGAGAAAAGGCTGGGTGTAGTGCGGGGTCCTCCCTGACGCGTGCATGAGCGTTGTGTGCGCATTTCTCTGACGATGCCTGCCTGAACTACTTCATGTTTAAGCTGCTGGTGTTGCGCGTCCAACTCTGTTTTTGCACAATGAAATTAAGAGGCCCACGCCGCATGCAGCTTTCATGCACATTCTCCCCTCCTGTAAATGATCTCCGCAGCCAGGCTCGGTGGGTGTGAGGCTGTCTGTTAACAGAGCCTGTAATGGCAGCGCCTCTCTGCTACTTTAGCCACACCGCGTCTGCTTGTCGTTGCTTTCCCTGCGCTGTATTTCGCTCGCTAGCTGTGCGCGGCCTTTATTTGGACTGTAGTTGGGTTTAAATGTGCCTTTGCTCGTTTGGCTCACTGAGGGGGGTGGTGTAGTGTTGTGCTACCGTCGCTGGTCTCTGCCTTTTTGCAGGAGGCCATTACCGGAACCTCCGCGCTGCTGGTGCTGATGCTGCAGTGCTTGCGAATGTTGCTAGGCAGCCATGCAGAACGCACGCGGTTTACTGGCGGAAGAAAGGAGGATGCTAAAGAAGGGAAAAACTCGGAAAACAGTTTTGTACGTTAATCCTCGTTTACAATCCTGTGTTCTGCATGCACTGCTCTGGATCAATTGGCCTGTACGCATCTCCCCCCTCCCCGCCATGTGACACATCTGGGTCCCCCCCCCCTCTTTTTTTTTTAAATCTCCCCCAGCACAATGGCAGGCCGTGACTGTGGGGTAACACAGTAGTCAGACTTCAGCAATACTGAAAAAAGAAATAGCTGTAAAAACAATGGTTTGCACACTGTATCGTGTTCAAGAGAAATCATAGCATTTATGGGGGGATTTTGTTTATCATTTATCCATCTATCGAATAAGACACTGTTGTGGTTATAATGAACCAAAGCACCTTAAAATTTAACTGTATTGTAAGCTGTATGTGGAGATTGTTTGAATTTGGAAAGATAAATAGTTTTTCCTTTTCTTTAATAAAGCAGTGGTCAGGACAAATGGAACGAAATAGATGTGAAATAGTTGTGATGAGGAATTATGATGATGTAATTCACTATGTAAGTTAGAAAAATGTTCAAAAGCATGATTATTTTTTATTTAAAAATGTTTGGTTTTTTTGTGTGTTTTGTGTAGTTATTTGTTCTTGAACTCCAGATGCAGAGGGATAGCTACTTAGCATATGCTATGTAAAAAGGGTAGGTGCAATGAACTTCAGACACCTTTTCAGCCTGTAACTTGTGTTCATCCTGTTTAATTCAATAATTTGTTGACAGTATGTATTTAAAAGAGCAGTTTGGTGGTGGTTGTAATTGAAAAAAACAAAAAAAACTGTTAATCACGAAAACTGGAGTTTATTTTATACGATACTGGCAAGTGGGAATTTTGTTGTTTGAATTTAAATTGAAACAACTTAAAGAGCATATTGTGCTCATGTCCAGCTCCATACTTTTTATTCTTAGACTCATGCTGAATTTTTTAATTCATGCATTATCATCCGTGCATCATCACACAAGGAATATTCAATAACTGCAGGATTCAGTAATACTGTAATTAACGTAGTTCACTCCATTTCTTGTGTGTGTCTTCAGCTGCTGGTCTGATGTGCTGAAATGCTTTCTGTGTTGATGTTTTGTCAAGTTGGAGCCAAATTTCCCATTAGAGGCTGCAGAGACATAACTGTCCTACAGAGAATTTGCAAAACTTATTATACCTCTACATCAATCTTGCATAAATGCACTTTTATTTACTGCACACTGCATTTCTACAAGACACTCTTGTGTCAAATGTTTAATGTGTCCAATCTAAAGCGTAAAATCTCACTGCTACATGTTAGCAAATTGGAGTCAACTAAACTCTGTTTATTTGTTTTTACCCAGTACAGCTGGTGTCTTTTTACCAATATTTTTTTTGTGTGTGTTTGTGTATACAAAAATTATGTGCACAATATATTTTAACATACGTCAATAATATTAACACTTAGCAGCAAATCAGGACTAAAATATGGACAGGTGTCAATTAAACATTTTGTTTTATCTCGGGCTTTTATCCCTGAGTTACCTCAAATTCATCTGAAGTGCATCTGTAGTAGTCCGCTGTTTACCTCAGCTGCCAATATGCCTCCACCTCTATTTGCTACAGAGGAGGCTGTAAAACCTTGTGACAGGAGTACAAATCGATGAGTCGATGAAGCTCAGCTGTGTCTGATGGCAGTGATACTGAGGTGAGTTGTTGAGGACAT